TACTGCCACCCCATTTTATAGAGGTAAAGATTACAGGTTATAAAAACTAAACACCTTAGTAAGAGTATACTCATGAATAAATGGAGGAGCAGGCTCTAGATTCAAAACTTATTTTAGTGATAGTGACTCTAGCCGGGTGGTTGTAGTGGCGCACTACCTTTAATCCCAGCACTTAGGTGCAGAGGCAGGCGGATCTGTGTTAGTTTGAGGCCAGTAAGTTTCAGAACAGCCAGACCTATGTAGTGAGACCCTGTCTCAAAAACAACAACAACAACAAAAATCAGTTTCCTTAAGACCCTTTCAAAACCAGACCCATGAGTCTAATTTTCTCCATCTTCTGTCTCACTGCTGAGTTTCAAGTACTATAACTGTCCCTTCCTGCATTCAAAAATATTCATGTAGATGGCTTTGAACATGTTTCTTTGCCTTCGTACCTGTGTTCTCTTCTCCCCTCTCCCTTCCCTACCCCTTTCTTTCTTCACTTTGAGTCTGTTCATGATGCCCAGGTTAGCCTTGAACTCTTGGGCTCAAGTGATCCTTCTGCTTCCACATTCTAAGTCTCAGCTTTACTTTGCATTTGTTTCCGGGGTCTTACTGTGGTAGCCCTTGCTAACTGTGAACTCACTGTGAATCCCAGACTGACCTCAACTTTAGTAATCCTCCTGTCTCACCCTCCAGAGTGACAGTACGGGCTTACTACAATGTCTAGCTGCATTTCCATCTTTAGAATGTTTGAGAAGTAAGACAAACCATGGTGTTTTATTACTTTGTTCTGTTGTCTCCTTTAACTGTTTTCCAGTGTTGCCTATAGAAGAAAGAAATCTCTACATGCAATTTTGGTGAGATAGGTTGATCTCCTGAGTGCTGGAGATCTTTAGTTCCTTATTTAAGCAGTAAGTCAGCCTCCTGAGTAAAGCACTTCTATAACTCTCCTTTAGAAAGCTGGCACTTCCAAAATGGTTTTTACTGTATTCAAGCTTAGTAAAAATTCAAGCTTTAATCATTTAAAAATTTAATCATTTAAAAATTCAACTCTTTACTCCCAGAATTTGAGAGGCAGGGCAGGCAGATTGCTGGAATTTGAGGACAGCCAGGCCTACAAAGAGAAACGCTGTCTTGGAAAACAGAACAAAACAAAAAATTAAGTGACTGCATGAGTGGGATAAGAAAAGTGCAGGGAAGCAGTGTGAACCTAGATGAAGCTAGGTCTGGAGCACGCCTATAATCCAGGCAGGAAGAGTGCTACCAAGTTCAAAGATAGCCTCGACTACTTTATGAGTTCAAGGCTAGTATGAGCTACAAAGTGAGACCCTGTCTTTAGAAAGAAAGGAAGGAAGGAAGGAAGGAAGGAAGGAAGAAAGAAAGAAAGAAAGAAAGAAAGCAAGCAAGCAAGCAGAAGTGGGCCAGGGAGATCTTGGTCAGTAGGTAAAAACAAAGCGAAGAACTTGCCATATAAGCCTAAAAACCTAAGTTTGATCCCCAGAAACTATGTTGAAAAGCCAGATGTCATGGTGTGTGTCTATAATCCCATCATTACTACAGCAAAATGAGAATCACCCCCAAAGCTCATGGGCCAAGTTAACTGAAGTACATAGTTCAGCAGATGCAAGAGAGACCCTGCCCCCCCAGTAATGTGTAATGGAAACCAACTCTTCAAATATTGTTCTGCCCTTCATGCATGTGCTTAATGCCACGATAGCATCTGCTTGTGCATGTTCTCTCTCTCTCAAATACACACATAAAATCAACCAATCAATACACACATAGCCACCCTGACTTGGTGGCTTAATCTTGGAATTCCAACATTTGGGAGGCAGAGGAGGAAGAATTCAAGGCTAGACAGAGTTAACCCCCTGTCTGGGGGAGGGGCTGGGGCAAACTGAAAAAAGAAATGAAAACTGCTAAAGTTAGTTTATTAAATTTTTTTTTAATTTTTAATTAAATTCTGGGGCTGCAGAGATGACTCAGTGGTTAAGAGCACTGATTACTCTTCCACAGGACCCAAGTTCAATTCCCAGCACCCACATGGCAGTTCACAACTGTCTGTAACTACTTCCAGGGGATTCAACATCCTCACATAGACATACATGTAGATAAAACATCAATGCATGTAAAATAAAATTAAACCATTTTTTGAAAGTTAAACTTTCTAGCTGGGCAGTGATGGTATACACCTTTAATCCCAGCACTCGGAAGGCAGAGTCAAGCAGATCTCTTAGTTGGAGGACAGCCTGGTCTTTAAAACAAGTAAGTTCCAGGACAGCCTGGGCTACCAAAGAAACCTTATCTCAAAAAACAAAGGGGTTGTTTTTCTTTTTGTGTATGAATGTTTTGCCTGCATGCATGTTGTGCACCACATTTATGACTGTTAGATCACCCGAACTGGGAGTTAGTGTTGGTTTGGTGTTTGGGTGACTGTTCGACAGATGGTTGTGAACTACCATGTGACTGCTGGGAATCAAACCTGGGTCCTCTACATGAACAAGTGCTCTTAACCACTGAGCCATCTCTCCAGCCTCTTTATTTTTTGAGACAGGGGCTCTCACTGAACCCAGGGGCTCACGGATTAGACTAGACTGGCTACGTCAGCTAGCCATCCCAGTGGTAGGGATTACAAGCATGTGCAATACACTCGGCTTTTGATGTGTCTGCTTGGGGTTGATCTTGGGTCCTCATTCTTGAGCAGCAAGTGCTTCTCAAACTCAGCCACATCCCCAGCCCTAGGAGAATCGTTTTAACTTGAGACACAGTTGTCGTTGTCCTGCTACTCCAACTTTCCCCTCATAGAATTATTCATGTTGGTAGCTGTGCGGGGAGCAGGTACATGGGTGCACACAGGATGAGTGTGAAGGACAACCTCAGTGATGCTCTCATGAATGCCGTCACTTTGAGGTGGTCTATAAGTGTGGGGAAGTAAGTCCACAAGAGCCCGAAATAAAAGGATCTTTGGTGTGTTTATGCATCTTAGAAAGTCTTTAGCTGTATCATTTGTGCTTTTCAGGGATAAAGAAATCAGACTCACATATTTGTGTAGCAGCATATATTTCTCTTATGCTATAGGGATGCCATAGCAGATTAGCAGTTCAGCAACTGCAAACTGAACTGTTGCTTTATTTTAGAATTCTAAGAATTCTGACTTCATCAGAATCACTTAAAATAATAATAATAATAATTTTGGCCAGGCAGTAGTGACACATACCTTTTCTTTTTCTTTCTTATTTTTTTAGATTTATTTATTATATATAACATTCTTCCTCCATGTATGCCCGCAAGCCAGAGGAGGGTGCGCCAGATCTCATTACAGATGGTTGTGAGCCACCATGTGGTTGCTGGGAATTGAACTCAGGACTACCTTTTCTTTTTTAAATTAAACGTTTTCATTTATTTTACATCTCTACCACAGCTTCCCCTTCCCTTTCTCCTCCCGTTGCTTCCTCCCTCCCCTTTCCCCCATCCATTTCTCCTCCACTTCTGCCCAGAAAGGTGCAGTCCTCTAATGGGTGTCAGCAAAGCATGGCATATCAAGTTGAGGTAGGACTAAACTCCTCCCTTTGTATTAAGGCTGGGCAAGGCAACCCATTTTGGCAATAGGGTCCCAAAAGCCAGCTCAAGTACCAGGGTCTGGACTGGTCGCAAGCAGGCTCCCTGTTATTCCAGAGTCTGTGAGCTCCTATGAGCCCAGGGGTTGGTGCACACCTTTAATCCCAGCCCTTGGGAGGTAAAGGCAGACAGATCTCTATGAGTTCGAGACTAGCTGGCTCTACAGAGTGAGTTCCAAGATAGCCAAGGCCGCACAGAAAAACCCTGTCTTTTTTTTTCATTTTTTTTTTAAAGATTTATTTATTATGTGTACAACATTCTGCTTCCATGTATGGCCACACACCAGAAGAGGGCGCCAGATCTCATTACAGATGACTGTGAGCCGTCATGTGGTTGCTGGGAATTGAACTCAGGACCTCTGGAAGAGCAGTCAGTGTTCTTAACTCGGAGCCATCTCTCCAGCCCCCAGAAATCCTGTCTTGAAACAAACAAAATAATTATTTTGAGACAGGGTTTCTCCATGTAGCTCTCACTATCCCCTAACTAGCTACGTAGACCAGGGTGGCTTTGAACCCAGCATGCCTCTACCTCCTGAGTGCTGGGATCCCATTGGGCAAGGATCACCTTTTCCGAATATATTACTGTACGTATTCCAGAGGCTTCGCACAGTTGCCATTCAGTATCAGATTACTTGGGGATTTGATAACATTGCAGTCTCAGCCTTCTTGGCTTGGAGGATTATCAGAAGTAGAGAAGAGAGAAGCATATTGAATAAGTACAGTTCAACTAATTGTATTTGTTCTGGGCTTTGCATTACATTTATAATATCTGTGAAGGAAAGATTTGGGAAATAGGATTAACATTTTTTAACACATTCCCATTATTGAAAGTTGGCTGCTGTCTGTAGAGCTTTGAAGTTACCATTTTGTGTAAGTGCCGGTGTGGAGGTCAGAGGACAGCTTTGTGGAGTTGAGTCTCTCTCCTTCTTCCTTTATGTGGACTCAAGGGACTGAATTGAGATTGTCAAGTTTGGGTGGTGAACTCTTTACCTGTGGAACCACCTTGCTGATGGTTACTTCTCTTAGTTCCCTGAAGTTGGTAGAGTTTTTGGTTTTTTGTTTTTTTTTTTTAAGTAAGCTAAACAGACTTCTGAGTTGAAATCCAAGTTAGCTGCCACTGTTCTGAGTTGCTGAGGTTTGTGATATGTTTATTGAACTTTTATTCTGTGTTAAGATCAGTAAATAAGCTTGGCAGTGGTGGCACACGCCTTTAATCTTAGCAGAGGCAGGTGGATCTTTGTGAGTTTGAGGCCAGCCTGGTCTACAGAGTTAGTGCCAAGACAGGCTCCAAAGCTACAGAGAAACCCTATCTTGAAAAACCCCAAAAAAGAAAAAGGAAAAAAATAGATAAATAAATAAGATAGAGCTCAATTTCTAATAAAACTTACTTTTCTTAACCAGCACCTGTGGAGTCGTCTCAAGAACAGTCATCATTGTGTGAAGGTAATTTTTTTTTTAATGTCTAACCAAGAAAACATTAAGTTGTCTGTGATGTTTAAAATTAGATACTGTTTCATGAATATATATTGTGTCTCAATTTTTTTCTAGGTTCAAATTCAGCTGTTAGCATGGACCTTTCAGAAACTGTTGGTAAGCATTTCTGACCTTATTAAGACAGTAATGGGAACACATCATTTCTGATGACTGAAATGTCTTTGCTTCAACCACATTTAATGTTTTGCTATTAAAATTTTAATACAGCCTGGACAAATTAGTGAATGCACGTCGAATCGAGAAGAGGAGTGCTATTCCTTTGACTTTGTTGTTTCTTGAGACTAGATCTTTGTAGCTCTGATCTATTTATTTATCCTACTGCCTCTATTTTAAGAGTGCTGCTGGGATTCCAGGCATACACCATCACTACAAACATTTCATAAAATTCCCATCCATTCTTGTTTTTTTTTTTTTTTATTGATTTTTATTAATCGAGCTCTACATTTTTCTCTCCTCCCCTCCCTGCTTCTCCCTTCCTCTTCAGCCCTCCCCCAAGGTCCCCAAGCTCCCAGTTTACTCAGGGATCTTGTCTCTTTCTACTTCCCCCATTGTTTTTTTTTTTTTTTTAAAGATCTATTTACTATGTATAGAGTTCTGCCTGCGTGTATTATTCCTGCAGGCCAGAAAAGGGCACCAGATCTCATTACAGATGGTTGTGACCCACCATGTATGTGGGTGCTAGGAATTGAACTCAAGACCTATTTCCAAAGTGACTGTTAAAGTTAATGCCAAAAGTTACTATTTACATTGAAAATTTACCTCCTAAATTCTTTCACACTCCTTATTCTGGTTTCCATACTTTCCTTTTTTCCCCCACTGTCAGGGCATCTTGATACTGGAATAAGTGGGGTTGGGCTTTTTTGTTCCCTGTAGTCTGACTTAGGAAATGACAGCATGCTAGTGTAGCTGTGTGTTACGGTATAGGAAATGACACCATGCTAGTGTAGCTGTATGTTATGGTATAGGCTCCAGCTCTCTGCTGTCAGGAACGAGGCCAGCTGGAAAGACTGTTTAAAATGTGGGCAGGTATTGTTCAACATATTGAGTTAAAATATCTTTCTTCAGTAGAAAATGGAGAGACAGAAATGTCCCCAGAAGAATCATGGGAGCACAAAGAAGAAATAATTGAAGCAGAGCCAGGGGGTGGTTCCTCAGGAGATGGAAGGCCACCAGAGGAAAGTGCCCAAGAAATGATGGAGGAGGAAGAAGAAATACCAAAACCTAAGTCGGTGGTGGCACCACCAGGTGCTCCTAAGAAAGAACATGTAAATGTAGTGTTCATTGGGCATGTTGGTAAGTTCCTTTGTAGAGCTCATACATGCTGACAGGCATTATTGGAGAAAGACATCAGCTTGTGGAACATCTTGTTTAGCTACTTGGAGATGTTGAGTGAAACTGGGTCAAAATATTGAAGTACCTAAAGTGCTCTGTATACACGCACACACTGAGAGTTGACTGCAGGGTCACATGTAAAGTGCTTTCTTTGCTTGTTTGTAGGCTAGGTTTCTCTGTGTAGCCTTGACCTGGAACTCGCTTTTTAGACCAGGCTGGCCTCAAACTCAGAGATCCACTTTCTTTTTCTGTCTCCCAGGTGTTGGGATTAAAGACATGTACCACCACTGCCCGGCTGTTTTTATGTTTTTTAACTTGCTTCAACTGAAAAAAAAAAAATTGCCAGTGTTTTGTTCTTGAAGTTTGGGCAGATCAACTGTTTTGTAATGTCATAGAAGCTGGAAAAAAAATAAGCTTCGTTATATGTGTAATGGATAATTAGTCTGTAGACCATTGGTAATGGTTTGCTATACTGTGATACTTCTTAATTAGTATCCAAGAAATATGAATGTTTTGTTCTTTAGTTGATATGTTCCTTTTAATGGGTTAACATTGTTACTGTTCATCTTAATTTTGTATGAAATAAGAAATTAGTAATTTAGATTAATTTCTGGGTATTTGCCAAGTAACTGGGTTAGCCAAATAAGACCTTGCTTAATTATATGATTTCTGACTTTTCAGATTGTGAGAAGAAATACTGAATTCTGTGTTATCCCTCCACATTGAGACAGGGCCTCACTATGTAGTAATACAGACTGGCCTCCAGCCCTCATTCTTCCTGCCACAGCCTACTGAGTTTTAGGATTGCAGATGGATCCCACCATGCTTGACCTGTCTCCCTTTTTCTATATCACATTCCCTTTAGAGAAGAATAACATTGAAATTTGTAGAGAAATGCCTTTCCTGTTTCCTAAACTCAGGGACGCCTTTAATCCCAACATTCGGTAGGCAGAGGCAGGCTGATCTCTGAGTTCGAGGCCAGCTTGGTCTACAGAGATAGTTCCAGGACAGCTAGAGCTACGCAGAGAAATCTTGTGATGGATGGATGGATGGATGGAAATTTCTTCATCAGGGAAGTATTTCTCAGTCCTCACTGCCCTATGAGGATCTTAGCCTCAATCTTTGTGCATGGGAGAAGGTCCCTAGAATTTAATCCTGAAATTCCTATTACAGTTCAGTTGCTTTTGCAAGACTTGATTATACATGCAAAAAAATCCCTCCAGTTCTTTTTGTGTATATATCAGTTGTTTTTAACCTATGTTCCCATATTTTTGTTCTTCCTTTTAGATGCAGGCAAGTCAACCATTGGAGGACAAATAATGTAAGTCTCTTTTATCTAATGGTAGAGTTAATCTGATTGGATAAATTTCAGGCATTGTAAGTGTTCATGTTGCCATAAAAGGGAGATAAAAACTGGTCACCACCTCAAGTTAGAAACTTTAATAATAAATCATCTGTACAGAAGGTAGCAGTTAAGTAATTTTTGTTTTAGTGTGATCATCAGTTTTTAATCACTGTCAAACTCTTATTACACACTGTTTCTAAAACCTATCTTTAAGAAACAAAACATGTTATGTGTATGTGCTTGTGTGTGCGTGGTGGTGGTGATTTTTGTACCTGAATAGCTGGGATTAAAGGTGTGAACCACTCCTACCTGATTGCTATGGCTTTTTAAATAATTTTTATGTGCATTGGTGTTTTACCTGTGTGTGTGTCTGTGTAACGGCATTAGATTCCCTGGAACTGTAGTTAAAACAGTTGTGAGCTGCCATGTGGGTGCTGGGAATTAAACCCGGGTCCTCTGGAAGAGCAGCCAGTGCTCTTAACCTCCAGGTCTTGTCTCCAACCCTACAAGACACCCCCCCTTTTTTCCCCTATTTTTGGCAAGGCATGTTGCTATATACCTTTAATTACAGCATTTTGGGGGCAGAAGCAGGTGGATCTCTAAGTTCAAGGCCAGCCTTGTCTATATATAAAATTCTAGGCTAGCCAGAGTGACATAATGAGACCTCGTCTGGAAAGCAACAACAAATTTTTGAAGGTGTTGTTTTTCTTGTGTATATGCATATATGTGTGTTCAGCCATGCATGCAGGTGGCTAGGGAAGCCAGAAGAGGTTACTGAATTTCCTTGGGATAAAATTACAGGTGGTTTTGAGTTGTCTAATGTGAATGTTGGGAGTAGAACTGCATCCTCTGCAAGAATAGCAAGTGCTGTTAACTGCTAAGCCATTTCTCCAGGCCTTATTAAAATTTTATGAAAAATAATACAGTACCCAAGATTACAGAAAGTCTTAGTTGGCTTTGAATATACATTAACGGGAAACCATGCTTTGATCTTTTCCTGGGTGGTCTGCTCCTCCTCTATGATGTGGACAGTGACTGTGATAGTTTCCAGTCACTGACCACCAAGCTAAACAGTTCTCTACAGTGTACTCTTGCCAGTGTCAGCTGAATAGTGTGTGTGTCCTTTGTGTCTGAACATGAGACATTCAGCACATTAATATTAAGTGGACCTGTGTCACTTGATTTTGCCCAACAGTGAGCTAATATCAGTATTCTGAGTCTGTTTAAGGGAAGGTAAGCTGAGCAATAATGTTAGGTAGTTTGGGTGTTTTATTTAGTTTTTATTTTTGAGGAAACAGAGTGGCCTTAAACTCAAGTATGTAGTCTAGAATGACCCAGAATTCCTGAACCTTCCGTTCTACCTCCGAAATGCCCCAATAAAATTATTTTGGTTTTGGGGGGCAGGGTCTCACTGTGTAGTCCTGGCTGGCCTTGAACTTATCCTCCTGCCTCTGCCTCCAAAGTGTAGGGATTCAGCACCACCATGCCTGGCTGCAAGGCCTTTTTGATTGGTGATGGAGTAAGAGAGAACCATGGAAAGTTGAAGTATATTTGTAATTTCTTGGGGTAATGAAAGCTAACTTTCTGTTTTGTTTTTGTTGAATATGTTTTTATTTTTATTTTATATGTATTAGTGTTTATGTAATATGTATGTGCACCATATATATGCCTCATGATGAAGAGGGCATCATATCAGCTGGGTGATGGTGGTGCACCTCTAGTCTACAGAGTGTTGCAGGACAGCCAGGGCTGTTACAGAGAGAAACCCTGTCCTGAAAAACAAAAAAAAGAAAAGTCATCACCTGGAACTAGTTACAGATGGTTGTGAGCCACTGTGTGGGTTCCTGGAAATGAACCTGGGTCCTCTGAAGAACAATGAGCATTCTTAACCACTGAGCTTTCTATTTTCATTTGCCCCTCGTGTTGGTGTTGCTACCCAGGGTCTGTGAGCACTGAACAAGAGCTCTGCCGTTGAGCTACATTCCCAAACCAAAAGTTTGATTTTGATTCATGAATGGACTGGTTTTTGATAATTCTTAACAATCTGAATGTAAAAAGCAAGTGAAAAGGCCACTTTAACAATAGCCTATGCATGTGTGTTGGTCTACATATGTGTTTGCATACATGCAAAGATCCAAGATTGGTGTTAGCGTATTCATTGAGCCAGGATCTCAGTCACACTTAGAGTTCCCTGATTTGGCTAATCTCTGGGATCTTCTTACTCTGGTCATCTTACTCTGGGATTCTGTCTAACAGAAAGGGCAGACCCACCTCCCTCACCTGATTGACATGATTCTGGGGATCTGAACTCCAGGTCTCAGGTTTGTGTGACCAGTGCTATCACCAATGAGCCATCAATCACTCCATCCCCAATTTTTGCCATTTTATACAAGCTACCTACTTGAAAAGACACTAACTAACCTCTATTAATACGTTCTGCTATTAACAGCTTTTTAAAAGTGTGTGTGTGTGTTAGGGGAGCACATGCATGCCATGTTGTGCTTATGTAATACAAAAGAATTTCTCATTCTTCACCTCCCTTCTTGTTTGTTGGTTGTTGTATATGTTAGAGTAGCTGCCTTCTATTCCCCCTCCCCCCCCCAGCTTCATGCTCCCTATAAAGGAACAAGGATTACAGACATGTGTGCTGCTGTGTCTGGGTTCTAGGGATTCGAACTAAGGTTGTTAAGATTTATGCAGGATTTGTTTTGTTGTTGTTGGTTGGTTTTTGGGTTTTTTTTGTTTATTTGATTTGGTTTTTTTGTGTGTGTGTGGTTTTTTGGGTTTTTTGTTTTTTTGTTTTTAGAGACAGGGTTTCTTTGTGTAGCTTTGGATTTGGAGGATTTGGAGCCTGTTCTGGAACTCATTCTATAGCCCAGGCTGGCCTTCAACTCACAGAGATCCCCTGCCTCCTGAGTGCTGGGATTAAAGGCATGCACCACCGCCCAGCAACAGTATGTTTTTTATTGATGGGTTGTAGAGTAGCCTTTCACTGTTTTTTGGTTTTGTTTTGTTTTTTTATATCCAGACTGTGAAGAACATCATAACTGTAGGGGATTATGTAGGTAATATTTGGGATGAGAGGGATGGGACTTGGATTTGACCTGAATGAAAGCTAGCTGGCATTACTAGTGAACGGTTCAGACAGTAGTTTCACATTGACAAAAGCTATTTTAAAATGATCTCACTTTTAAAAGTCATTTGACAGAATGTCATTGCCTACACCTGCACATTAGAATTTATATATAGGATATACATAATGATCTTTAGTATTGCTAAAGAATCTTTAACATGAAAATTTTTTGTCTTACATATTCACACTCATGTGTTGGTATTTCAGAAAGATAGCAGAAACAATACAGAGTTCCTGTAGTCCCTTTATTCAGTTTAACCTAATATGAAAATCATCCATAAACTATGGCACAGTAATCAAAACTAGAAAACTTGGGCTGGGGATATAAAATCAGTGTCGTGAGCACTGACTCACCAACCATGCATAAGGTCCTGGGTTGAGTCCTCAGCATGGTTTACAAAAAGAAAAAAAAAATGTGATGGTGGCACACACCTTTAATCCCTACACTCAGTAGGTAGGCAGGTCTCAGTTCATTGGCATCTTGGTGTATAGACAGTGAGTTTCCATGACAGCCAGGACCACACAGAGAAACCCTGTCTTGGAGGGGCGTGGGCAGCAATTCAGAGGCAAAAAACTTCAACTTTGTTGGTGGTGGTTTATTGTTTGGTGGGTTTGCATGGCTGCCTGCAAGGTGAAAGTTTGCAGTGTAATTCTTAACGTCAATAGGATGTTTGATGCTCTTTTTAAAAATTAAACAAATCATGGGGAGCTGGAGCGATGACTCAGGTTTAAAGCACAGGCTGCTTTTCCAGAGATCCTTAGTTCAATTCCCAGCAACCACATGGTGGCTCACAATCATCTAAAAGGAGATATGGTGCCTTCTGGTATAGCCTGCAGACATACACGTGGACAGAACACGGTGTATATACATAATAAATAAATCTTTAAAAAATAAATAAAAATTAAATAGATCTTAATTGGATTTCACCATATTTTCCATTGTTATTTTTTATGTTCTTTAATTATATATGATAGGGCATTATTATACCTCCATAGCCCTTAATTGGTAACATTTCCAGTTTCCTTGCTTTATGGCCTTGGTAACCTTTGAAAGCAATTAAATTACTTTATTTGTGTGTATATATTCGTGTACCTACATGTATTGTGTATATGCATGTATCTGAGCAAGCTAGAAGAGGGTATTAGATCTTCTGGAATTCTAGTTACAGGCAGTTGTGTGCTGGGAACCAAACCTGGGTCCTCTGAAAGAGCAGCAATTGCTCTTAACCACTGAACCATCTCTCCAGGCCCCCTTCCCTTTTTAAAAATGTATGTGTATGGGTGTGTCCCCGGGATACCAGAAAAGACTGTTGGCTCCCCTGGAGTTGGAGATGTTGGTGATTGTGAGCTGACTGATGTGAATTCTGAGAACTGAACTCAGGTCCTCCTGAAGAAAAGAAAATCTCTTAATTGCTGAGCCACTTCTGGCCCTTGGCCTTAGTAATTTAAAGAATGTGAACTGGTTATTTCATATAGAGTTCTGTAGTTCAGTCAGGACTGATACTTTCTTGTATTAAGAATATCACAGAAGACAGCTAGCTATATTTTGTATTGTAGGGCTCATGATGTTGTCTCTTTACTTACACAATATATTTCACAAAGTATTGATGATATAAGCTGAGTTTATCTTGGTAAGGTGTTGACCGTCAGTGTTTTTACCATGAAGTACTTTTGTTTTCATCTAATAATTTGAAATGATACAGATGCCTTTTTATATTTAAATTAGCTCTACGAATGGTACATTTACCTTAAAAGAGTTGGGGTTTTGGCTAGTGAGATGACTCAGTGGGCAAAGGTCACCAAAGCTAACCATCTAGACTTATTCCCTGGGACTCACAGGGTGGAAGAGGAAGGCTGACTGCTGCAAACTGTCCTGAGTCTACATAAATAAGTGAATGTAGTTTCTTTTTTTAAATAGCAGTTTTTCTTTAGCTCAGGTTCCCTTCAGGCGCTCCAGTAGTGTCCTCACTGTACTGAGTAACTAAAGTGTGTACTTCTTTGTCTCTAATCCTTTACAGGTATTTGACTGGAATGGTCGACAAAAGGACACTTGAGAAATACGAACGAGAAGCTAAAGAAAAAAACAGAGAAACTTGGTATAGTAAGCTTTTATGATACTAGAAGTTACTTTTTAAGGAAACACTGTACCCTTAATGTTCAAATACCTGTTTTGAGCTGGGTCTAGTGCTATATGCCTGTGGTTCCAGTACTCTGGATACGTGAGACCAACCTGGGCAACATAGTGAGGCCTATCTCAGTAAAACAATTTTAAACAAATTTTTGCTGTCTAAAATACTGTATAACACAGGCAAAGTTTTCTTTTTCTCATATCACATACATTGAGACCTCCTGAGGAAATATGAGAGTCACCTAAACATGTAGTAGTAAGACAATTGTTCAGTAAATTTTAAGTCATCCTAAATCAATTGAGCAATTATGTTGCAATTAAAAGATTATATTGCCAGGCAGTGGTGGCGCATGCCTTTAATCCTACCACTCAGAGACAGGTCTACAAAGTGAGTTCCAGGACAGTCAAGATTACACAGAGAAACTGTCTCATAAAACCAAAGGGAGGAAAAAAGATTATATTTATGAAATTTGTATTGAGCAGAAATAGAACTTATGTTGAAGTGGCATATGGAGATAAAAAGAATTATAATTGTATGTAGGATATATGATCATAATATAAATAAATAAATGCTGGAAGGAAAGAGAAGAAAATTAGCAGTGGTAACAGAAAGTGTGTCTGCGTGTTCTTTGTGACGTTACTTTGTTTTGAAGATTTGCACATCTGGGAATCTGGGTGAGTAGTAGGGTGAATGCTTAGCTGGTGTGAGAAACTCTGGTTAGGTCCCTAGCACTTGAAAAGCTTGAAGCCCTTATGTCACGGGGATATTATTGTATCTGATTGTTATTGAGACAGTCTCTGTAGCTCTGGCCTAGAATTCATTATGTAGACCAGGCTGACTTCAAACTCAGAGATCACCTGCCCTGTTTCCCAAGTGCTTGGATTGAAGGGGTGTGCCAGCATGCCTGGCAAATGGGGAAAGTCGTAATTAGTATTAGACTCAAAAAGATTATAAGCTATTACTATAGATGTTTTGAAATAATTTATGTAGAATTATATAATTCTCACATAATGAAGTAATTTCAAAATTTTTCTTCATTTCTTTTTTTGTTTTTTTGAGACAAGATTTCTCTGTGTAGCTCTGGCTGTTCTGGAACTCACTCTGTACACCAGACTAGCATCAAACTCACAGAGATCCATCTGCCTCCCAAATGCTGAGATTAGAGGTGTGCACCACAACCGGTGCATATCAGTAGAAGGGCTTATAGTTCCAGAGGAATTTGAATCCATTGTGGCTAGGAGGCATGATGGCTGGAGCAAGCAAGCTGAGAGCAAACCTGCGGTGTAAGGCTTTAAATTCTGCAAGCCTGCCGTATGTGACTTACCTCTTTCAACAAGACCACACACCTTCTAGAACTCCCCAAACTTTACTACCAACTGTGGCCAGACAGCCCATGCCCAAGACTTTGGGGGACATTTCATTCAAACCACAACATTAATATTATGACTCATCTTTGTGTTTTTTCTTTTCTTTCTTACAGGATTTTTGATATGTAGCTCAGGACAGTCTCAAATATTCACTATCCTCCTGCCTCTCTCTTCCTGACACTAGAATTACAGATGTGCAATATCACACCCAGCATTTAAGTAATCTTCCTTCCCATGTTGTCAGTTTGGTTTTATGAATAATGTTTTCTTATAGACTAGCTGACTATGTATAAGCTCTGTTTGAATCATAACAATACATATTTAATTTTCTTGTTTTTATTTTACTAGTCTTACTTATGACACAGATGAGTAGTGGAGATGAAACTGGGTGTCACATTTTACATGCTTATTAGCAGAAGAATATATTTATATATTTATATAATGATAATATATTTAAATATTATAAATATATATACATTTATATAATGATAATCATGTTTTTTTTTTTTAATTCTTCCAGGTACTTGTCTTGGGCCTTAGACACAAACCAGGAAGAACGAGACAAGGGGAAAACAGTAGAAGTAGGCCGTGCCTATTTTGAAACAGAAAAGAAGCATTTTACAATTCTAGATGCTCCTGGCCATAAGAGTTTTGTCCCAAATATGATTGGTGGTGCCTCTCAAGCTGACTTGGCTGTACTGGTAAGAAAGACGTTTCCATTCTGGGTTTTTTTTGAGGGTAGGCTCTGGGCATATTTATTAGTGAACAGCCCACATGTATCTTCTCTTTTCTTTCCCATTGATAAGGTTTGAACCCATGGTGTTTGCATACTGCTGTACAAGTACTCTACCACTGATTTGTGACACAGGGTCTTACCATGTAACTCTGACTGGCCTGGAATTCAATATGTAGGCCAAGTGGGCCTCAAACTCAGAGATGTACTTGCCTCTGATTTACGATGTGCTCCACAACCCGACTTCAATGTTCTGATCCACCTTCATAAAGTTGTAGTCATTATAACACTATACATAATCGTAATAGTCACTTTTGTCACTCCTGTCTTCCCAAGAACTCATTATAATAATTTACTTGTAAAAAATTCCATTAAGGCCGGACGGTGATGGCGTACACTTTTGGTCTCAGTACTCAGGAAGCAGAAGCAAGTGAATCTCTGTGAGTCTGAGACCAGCTTGGTCTACAAGAGCTAGTTCCAGGACAGGCTCCAAAGCTACAGAGAAACCTTGTTTCAGGGAGTGGGGGAGAGTAAACATTTTCTCATTGCTATTATCTATGTGTTTATTAAATTTAGTGCAGTTTTTTTTAAATGCTAAGCCCACAAAGATTGAAATTAATGCTGTTTTTCCTTTCCCCTTCCTTTTTGCTAGGTAGTACATATTGTCCTCAAACTTACTATCCTCTCATCTCAGGCTCTTTGATTACAAGTATGCATTAGCATACACTCATTTTGGTTGTAGTATTAAGAGATTAAACCCTGTGGGGACTACAGAGATGGCTCAGTGGCTAAGAGGACATACTGTTGTTGCAAAGAACCTGAGGTGATTTCCAGCATCCATATCGAATGGCTCACAATTGCCTGTAACTCAAGCTCAAGTATTGATGCTTCTGATCTTAGCAGGCACCTACACACACCTATACACACACACACACACACACACACACACACACACACACACGGGGAGAGAGAGAGAGAGCGCACAAGAGCACTTAAACCTGGAGCCCTGAAATTGCTAAACACATTTTCTCACATCTTTAACCTAAAAAGAACATATTTGAAATGAACTATATGCACATATTCCATATTTAGGGAAGTTGAAGGGGTTAGAAAAAACCACTATGTTTGTTTTGTTACTTAGCACAACACATGGAAATAACTATCCCAACGAGCCATACCTACTCAACTCTAAACTCTTAAATCTTGAAGCCGTTTGACAGCAAGTGATTGGACATGTCTATTGTAGCACACATGCTCCTATTTCCTCGGAAAGCTTTCTTTTTAGGTTTTCTGTTTTTTTGTTTTGTTTGTTTTTGTTTTTCGAAACAGGGTTTCTCTGTTTAACAGCTCTAGTTGTCCTGGAACTCACTCTGTGGACCAGGCTGGCCTTGAACTCACAGAGATCTGCCTGCCTCTGTCTCTCAAGTGCTGGGATTAAAGGCGTGTGCCACCACCACCCAGCTGGAAAGCTTTCTTATAGAAGCTAAAAGTATACATGTTTTGCTGCTAGATTTGATGTAGGAGGAACCTGAATGTTTAAGAATAAATTACTGAATTTCTTGGAATAGGTAATCTCAGCCAGGAAAGGAGAGTTTGAAACTGGATTTGAAAAAGGAGGACAGACAAGAGAACATGCAATGTTGGCAAAGACAGCAGGTGTCAAACACTTAATTGTGCTTATTAATAAGATGGATGATCCAACAGTGAACTGGAGCAACGAGAGGTGAGCTTAGATGCTTCAATGACTTTCCAGGCATGTTGGTTAAGAAAAGGACGTTTTTGTTACTGTTCGCATTGTTTCTTCCAGTTTTTCTAAGCTTTAATTTGTTTAATGATGAAACTACTACTCAGTTGGCATAATTGTGTTGTTTCCAAATATTCTTAGATATGAAGAATGTAAAGAAAAACTAGTGCCGTTTTTGAAAAAAGTTGGCTTCAATCCCAAAAAGGACATTCATTTTATGCCCTGCTCAGGACTGACAGGAGCCAATCTGAAAGAGCAATCAGATTTCTGTCCTTGGTACATGTGAGTAATCTTTACTACTTTTTCTAAAAGGAGATGGGCATATCTAAAAGAAATTGAAAGATATTTTGGCTGTGGTCTTGGTTTTAAAAAATACAAGGACATTTGCCTTTTAAAACATTTATATGTTTTTTTTTTAATGTGTGTGTCTGTTGTATGCTTATGTGGGTAATATGAGGGTTCGTGTGGTGTATGCTATATGTGTAATATGAAGATGTTCTTTGCCCATGTTTATATGTGGACAGGCCAGTTGTTGAAACCAGGTGTTTTCAAGAGTTTTTCATTGAACCTGAAATTACCTGATTTGGTTTGAGCCCTGGGACCAGCCTGTCTCCTCCCCAGTGCTGGATTATAGACGCATGCCACCCCCTGGCTGTTCCATTGGTCCTGGTGCTTGCATAGCAGGCAGTCTACCCACTGAGCCGTCTCCCCGGCCCTATTTGGTTTTTGGTTTTGTTTTTTTGTTGTTGTTTTGGGCTTTTTTTTCTGAGTTATGTGAGTTCTTTTTTATTATTATTATTATTTTGTTTGTTTTTTGAGACAGAGTTTCTCTGTGTAGCCCTGGCTATCCTGGAACTCACTTCAGACCAGGCCCGTCTCTTATCTCCTAGAGATCTTCCTGCCTCTGCCTCCTGAGTTCTGGGATTAAAGGCGTGGGACACCACTGCCAGGCTTTCGTATGAGTTCTTTATGTGGTCTTTGGCCTATAACTCAAATCAATAGATTTCTTGCCTTATAAGCATGAAGACCCTGAGTTCAATTTCCCAGCGTCAATCACTCAAACACAGAAAACCCCAAAAGGTTTCTTATGTACAAGTCCCTCGCTAGGTAATTAACGTGTACTTTTCCCTTTCTGTATAAAAGTCATTCTTACCTTCCCCTTCTTTCATCCCTAGTTGTTTGTATTGGGTAGAATCCAGAGCCCTGCCCCTACTGAGCATGTTCTGCATCACTGACCTGTCCTCAACCCTCCATTGTGTATGAGTGTAGGTGCACATGTGCTGCGGTCGCTAGGTGGAGGGCAGAAGACAGCTGGTAGAGGTTTCTGCTCCTGCTGGCCTATGATCTTCCATGTGACTCCTGTCTCTGCTTCCCATCTCTCCGAGCAGTCCTAGAATTACAGATGTGAGTCACCAAATCTGTTTTGTAAAACATAGCTAGTGAGATGATGGCACAGCAGCCATATTATGGTGCCTGCTGCCAAGACTGGTGACGTGGGTTCACTCCCTGAAACCTGCATGGTAGGAAGAGAGAGCAAATGTCTGCAAGTCCTTTGAAACATCAGCTTGATTCCAGGTTACAGAGATTTAGCTGTATAGAAGAGGATGAGACCAGTTTAGTTTCTAGGTAATTAAGTGTTAAGATTTTAGGTTTTCGGGGCTGGAGATGGCTCATCAGTTAAGAGCACATTGCTCTTGCAGAGGACCTCGAAATTGATTCCTAGCATCCACATGATTCCAGGGTCTCCGACGCTCTCTTCTCACCTCCTGATAGTAGGCATGCACACATAGACAAAGCTATACACATAAGAAAAAATAAATAGAAATTTAAAGAAACATTTTTGCCTTTTATATTTAGTTTTCAGTTCATTTTTTTTGCGTAAGGTTTATGGTATTTAGCTAGGTTCATTTGCTTTGGTGTGGGTATTCGATTATTCTGGTATAATTTCTGTGTTGTGTTATCATCTTCATTAGAAATCAAGCGGCCATAAATGATGTTTGCTTGTTTTATTTTTCCCTCAGTTCTCTTCTGTCAACTGTTTATCTTAAGACTGTACAGTCTTGCTTGTAGAACTTAGAAACTGGCCAAAAATAAATTGGTTTTCTTTCTTTTTTGGCTATTGTGAATCTCTTCCACACAAATGGTTCAAATCAATTTATAATTACTGCAAAACAAGCAGCCTCTCTACACAGTGTTGCCTCACGGTCAGAGTAAAGGGGGAATTGTATTATGGAATCCTGATCTGATAAGGACCTCACAGTCCATAAATTAAGAAATAACAGCGTTGGGCATTGTATTACATGCCTATAATCCCAGCACTTGAGAACTGTGGCAAGAGGATTGATTGAGTTTGAGGCAAGTCTGGAAGACATAGCAAAATCCTATGTCCCTCATCCTTGTGTAGGTAATATTATAATGTAGGCTGTTACAAGTCACTTTTTTTCTAGACTTAGCATAAATTTATGGGGAAGCTAGGCCAGCATGGCTCAGCAGGTTAAAGTGCTGGCTACCAAGTCTGATGACTTAAGGTCTTTTTCCAGAGCTCAGATCACTAAAGGCGAGAGAGAACTGACGTCTGCAAATTGTCCTGACTTCTGTGTGCACATACTCACATACATAAACAAACACAATGAACTAGTTAAACATCCAGCGTGTTTGTAGTTTTTCGTTTTGTTGTATTCTGTTTTGAGACAAGAATCTCATTATGTAGCCTCATTTAGTCTGGAACTTAATAACCTCTTGTCTGAACCTCCCAAGTGCTGGGATTACAGGGTTGTATCACCATATCTGACCTAGGGAACTTTTAAAAGTAAGGTATTTTTGTTTTATTTTAGTTTTCTGAGGTGTTAAGTTTCATGAAATGAAAATATATAATGAAAAAATGTGCATTAGAAAAATAAAATGTTATATATAATCATTATTTAAATTACAATACTATAACTTAGATTTTTAAAAATTATTATGTTAACTTTCTTTAATGGATATTGTTCTGTTCTCAGTGGCTTACCATTTATTCCATATCTGGATAATTTGCCAAACTTCAATAGATCAGTTGATGGACCAATCAGGCTGCCAATTGTCGATAAGTACAAGGTACCTCAAATATTAAAGTTACTGGATTTCAGGGGAGTTGAAATCATTGTGTTTTGTTTTAAGTTAGAAAAAAATACCTTAATAATGTTTATTACCTTGTAAGTGTTTGCTTATAGAAGGCCATGATTTACTCAAACTTTTTACATTAAAAGTTGTAGCTATTGATAAGTAGTCTTGCAAGAATAGTACACTAAATTATAATAGTACCGGTACATGAGGGCTTATGTTGTCAGTATGCACTTTGTTGGGTTTGGTGGTGCATGCTTTTATTCTCTAATCTCAGCACTTGGGAGGCAGATACAGGTGGATCTTTTTAACTCAGGGCCAGAACCAAATTCCAGGTTAGCCAGGGCTACATAATGAGACCCTGTCTCAAATAACAATTCCACATCTCAGACCCCACAAAAAAATCGACTTCATTGATTTTAATTGAATTTCCAGCTTTGTTTTTTAGGTAATTTGTTTTGCAATACAAGGCCTTGAACTTAGGACCTTGTGCACACCAGGCAAGGTGTCTGCCACTGAGCTACATCCCAAGCCCTCAACTTAATCTTTAAACTCTGACAGTAACAATTCATGTAATGTTTTACCTACTTTTAAGCCTTTTGTTCTTAGATTAGCTCCACTCTAAGGCTTACAAATAAAGTTTCTAAATTTATACACAAACAGTTCAGATATTCCAACATAAAATTCTATGCTGTTTTCTGTATGAAGCTTTCTTTTGCATGTTAGGCATTCCTTGTTATTAATATAATTGTACTAAGGCCTAAGATACAAATTATTATGGAATGTTTATTACCTCCTTTATGTTTAAGAATAATCATAGGGGCTGGTGAGATGGCTCAGTGGTGAGAGCATTGACTGCTCTTCCAAAAAACATAGGTTCCCTTCCCAGCACCCACATGACAGCTCACAACTGTCTGTTTCTCCAAGATCCAACACCCTCACACAGACATACATGCAGGCAAGACACCAATGTGCGTTAAATAAAAACAGATAAATTATATAAAAAGAAAAATTGTTATACTTTTAAAAATGAATAATCATAAGCATTCGATCACTTGTTAGCTAAAGACTTTCCTTGGTAGATTTCACCTGCTATAATCAGGAGTAAAAGTCTGAATGTTTTTAATTATTTTATTCTAAATTTGATTAGGATATGGGGACTGTGGTCCTGGGAAAGCTGGAATCTGGATCTATCTGTAAAGGCCAGCAGCTGGTGATGATGCCCAACAAGGTGAGAAGAGTTCAGTGTGTCTTTTAGAGTTGCTCTTGGAAGTGAAGTCTCAAAAACGGAAACATTTCAGTCAAATTTTATACATAGTAATTATTTTGTTAATGCTCAGTGTGAAATAGAAAGACAGATTTGTTTTTGTATTCAGTAGACAATTGAAGCACGTTAGAACTGGAAGGAGCAACAGGAAAGTTTGAGCTATCAATCTGTCCCATTATCAATGTGGGCAAATAACATAAGAGATTTGGAGTGGCGAGTAACTGCTTAAAGGCTGACAGAACAAATTATTAAGAGAGCCATGGAAGAAAACTCAGGTTCAGGTCTGGTGTGTCTCCGTGTCTGTGTCGTTTCGATGCCACAAAATAATCTGTCTAAAACTATATTTGCAGGGAAATCTTTTGGGGTTTTGTTTGTTTTGTTGTTGTTAAACACGCTCATCCCCAAGGTAAGGACCTTGACCTTGGCCAAGCAGGCACTTTTATCACTGAGCTAAATACCCAGCTCCCCAAGGTCATTCATACTAGGTAATATAGGGGTTTGAGGACAGTTTGAATAACTTTAAAAAAAATTAAGTTGTGTGTGGTGGTGTACGCCTTTACTCCCCATACTTGTGAGGTAGGGGCAGGTGGATCTATGTGTTCGAGGCCAGCCTGGTCCACAAAGGGAGTTCTAGAACAGCCAGAGATACACAAAGAAACTGTCTTGAAAAAAATTTAAGGTCTGGCAGGGTGGCTCAGTGGGTAAAAGGCTCGGCCCTTGCTGCCTTGTTAAGATGAAAGGAGAGAAACTACAAAGTTTTCCTCTACCCTTTTCTCCATATGTGCTCCATGGCGTTCACCACACATGCGCACACACCACAATGATAAACAAACAAAAATCTTTGTTCGTGGGTTTAAAGTAGAGTTGATGATTTCTACTTGGAGGTACTATAAAAGAAAAGGTAACTCCGTCGGTGACATTTAGGACATTAGCAGTTCTGCTGTGCATGACTGTCTAGTTCCTTTCTCATGAGGAAATCTTTCACTCATTAAACAATGTGCTTTTCAAAAGAGATTTGCTTGTTTTATTTTGTATATTAATGTTTGGCCTGCAACTGTGCAGAATGTACACCTAGTGCCCACAGCAGCCAGCAGAGAGCATTGGCTCTTCTGTAACTGGCATTGTATATAGACAGTTGGGAGCCATCAGTTGGTGCTGGGAATTGTTCATGGGTCCTTTGTAAGAGCAGCAAGTGCCCTTAACAACTGCCCTTAACACTCTTTCCCGTCCCAACAATATACTTTCAAAATTCACTTGTTAAAATAATTGAGAAACATATCCTTATTTCAGGATTGTCCTGCTGTGGGAAATAGGTTTTTAATCATAAAATTTTTCTGAAATGAAATCGAGTATTAAGTTTGGTATTTGTCTAAGTCTCCTGTGGCTGTGATTAAATACCCTGAGAAAAGCAACTCAAGGAAGGGACTGGGGAGATGAGTCAACATTTCAAGAGTTCTTGTCACCTACATCAAGCAGCTCACAGTGACCTCTAATTCCAGCTCCAGAGGATCCTGTGCTCTCTTCTGGCCTCCACAGACATTGCATGCACAACATTGCATATACCTGTACATAAATAAAATAATTCTTTTCTTTTTAAAGCAAATCAAGGGGGTGGGAGAGATGGTGCAGCAGTTGAGAGCACTTGTTGATTTTGCAGAGGACCTGTATTTAGTTTCTAACCACCATGGTTCCCAACAAACATAATTCCAGTTCCAGGAGATCTAATGCTGTCACTTCTGACCTTTGAGGGCACTAGTGGGGCATATACAGAACATACATAAAATATTTGTTTGTTTGAGAGAGAAGCAACTCAAGGGAATAAGGTTTTGTTTCAGGTCTTAGGCAGGAGAGTCAAGACTACAAAAGTTTGGCGCAGCTGGTCACTATGATCTACAATTAGGAAGAGGGATAAGTCACTAGTGTCAGCTCCCATTTGCCATTCTATACTGTAGGCCCCAGTTCAGGGAGTGATCCCAGCCAGTAACAGTAAAGATGATTCTTCCCACATCAGTTAATTTAGAGGAATTCTATACAAGCATAATCCCTCCCAGGTGTGCCCAGGCATTGGCCTCCGAGTGATTCCAGATCCTGTCGCGTTGACAGTACTAACAATCACAGTGTTGTCGTTTTGAAAATGAAGTTTGTTCTGGATTCTATTTAGAAGTTATTAAAATGTGATATTAAAAAATAAGTTATGACAGTTTTGACTAATCCCTGAGATTGAGCCCCTTTTCTTTCCCTCTCAATTTTTGTTTTGGCTTGTGAATTTGTAGCTTCTTAACAAATGAACATTGAGGTGATTTTATGTCCATAATCCAGTACATGTATCAGAAAGCCTCCAACTTTGTTTCTTTTTAAGCACAATGTGGAAGTTCTTGGAATACTTTCTGATGATGTAGAAACAGATTCTGTAGCTCCAGGTGAAAACCTCAAAATCAGACTGAAAGGGATTGAAGAAGAGGAGATTCTTCCAGGATTCATCCTTTGTGATCTTAATAATCTTTGTCATTCTGGACGTACATTTGATGCCCAGGTAAATAAGTTACTGCAATCATCTTAGTGGTTGTTAGAACCTAAGTGGTTAGAATTTCAGTGCCTTTTGTCCTATTTGTGACATTCCACATAACCAGTATCAGAGGAACTGAAATAGTCAAACTCATTTGTACATTGCAACCATATTATCTCGAAATTTCAAGATGCTATAAAGAATTTATTAGGTGGTATTTTTTTGTGTGAATTCCATTTATTCTTTGGTTTATAGATAAAGCTACATTATTACTGACTTTGTAAAGACAGACAGTGATACATCATCAATAATGTTTAGTTTGGAATGTCCTTGATTGTGACTGCAGCATAGTTGTTTGCTACTCCAGAACCGGTATATTTTCAGACTTGGGTCATAGGGACATTTAACCCGACCTTATGAGAGTGACAGCAAACCACTGCTACCATCACAGAACTCTTGGAGTACTATTAAACTGGGCCTGGAGCACAGTGGTTAAGAGTTCTTGCTGCTCTCACAGAGGACCTGGGTTCAGTTTCAAGTACCAGCAGGTTACAAATGCCTGTAACTCCAGTTCCAAGGGAACCAGCACCCTTTTCTGCCCTCTTCAAGCAGCAAGCGTGCATGCACATGGCAAACAGAAAGACATCCAGGCAAACACTCGTACACATAAATAAATCTAAATCCTTCCTCCTGAAAAGTATGACTAAGGTGTTTTTAGTTTTTGTTTTGTTTTGTTTTTAATGCCAAGTATATTTACTTATTTACTAACTGGCCCTTGGGTATTGGATAAGAGAAATGGATACACTATGGGAAAATCATGTCTGGGTGATTTGTTACATTAGTTCCATGGGTAGTATATACTGAAGGCTTCTCAGAGCCTGCCTGTTGAACTGAGATAAACCAGGCACTCCCCAGTTTCTATACAGTGGTATATTTGAAGGTGAGCCTTGGTTGGGCAATGTGAGCTATCCTGTCAACAAAATAAAAAGGTATAACACATATTAAAAGTTAGTGATTCCTTTTGCTTCTTGAAATATCATACCTTTAGAACATTGATGATAAAATTGTGTGGTTTTGTTTGTTTCTAATTTGACAGATAGTGATCATAGAGCACAAGTCCATCATCTGCCCAGGGTACAATGCGGTGCTGCATATTCATACCTGTATCGAGGAGGTCGAAATAACAGTGAGTTTGTGTTTTCAGGGTAACTGGCTTGTTTAATTTTTCAGAATATTGTATCTTGATCATTTCTGATAAACGGTACAGATGCATATGTACTTTTTCTGTGGTGGGGAGTGTCGTGGTACATGTGTAGAAGTTGGGGACAACTTTCTGGAGTTAGTCTCTCCTTTAATTTACTTCTGCTTTGAGAATTAGACTCAGGCCAAGAAACTTATCTGGCAAGTACCTCTGCCTGAAAAGCTATCTTGCTACCTTTTTTGTTTGTGGTTTTTTTTTTTGAGATAATTTTGCTGTGTAACAGCCCTGGCTGTCCAGAAACTCATAGACCGGGCTGGCCTCAAACTCAGAGATGCCTCTGCCTCCCAAGTACTGGATTTAAAGACGTGCACCACCACTGCCTGGCTTGTTTTTGTTGTTTTAGTTTTTTATTTATTTATTATAAATACAGTGTTTATTATTTATTATATATACAGTGTTCTGTCTGCATGTATATCCCTGCAATCCAGAAGAGGGCACCAGATCTCATTGTAGATGGTTGTGAGCCACCATGTGGGTGCTGGGAATTGAACTCAGGACCTGTGTAAGAGCAGCCAGTGCTCTTAACCTCTGAGCCATCTCTCCAGCCCGTTTTTGTTGTTTTAAGACAGGGTCTCAGTACGTAGCTAAGACTGGCTTGGCACTTATGATCCTACCTTGGCTTCTCAAGTATTAGGATTACAGGTATTTAATACCATGCCCAAGTTACATTTTATTCTTAGAGTTACTTATATTTAACATTTAAATTTTTTTCTTATCATCTTTTTTTATTGACTAGGCCTTAATCTGCTTAGTAGACAAAAAATCAGGAGAAAAAAGTAAGACTCGACCTCGTTTTGTGAAACAAGATCAAGTATGCATTGCGCGTTTGAGGACAGCAGGGACCATCTGTCTGGAGACCTTTAAAGACTTCCCTCAGATGGGACGCTTTACCTTACGAGATGAGGGTAAGAGGTTTTCAGTGTCTCTTGATGTTAGACTTGAGTAGATAGCATGGTCTGAGTACTGTCCATATTATAGCAGGTTAAAAAAAATTCCAGATTTGTGTTCCATAATAGTCATATGTGATAAGTATACTGAATTGAATATATTAAACCATACATGGAATTACCATATAGTACCAGTATTGCTGTATGTAGACTTAATTTTAATATCTTATACTAGTGTACTCACAAAAAATTGAATTTACTAAGACATTTCTATAGCGAAGACTTGTACAGTAAATAAGGGTTATATGACGGTCTTTTGTTAGTTTAATATGTAATGCATATCCCCTTTCTCCCTCCCTTTGGTTGATACAGAATAGCTGCAGTTCTCGTCTAACAATCTCAAACTCCTTGTATAGAAAAAATTATGTTTTGTAATGTTTTGTTTTTTAAAGATGTGGTCTGTTGTAGTCTACTGGGAATCAAAGCCAACACTTTTGACATTTGAGGCGGCACTCTATAGACCGAACTGTATCCCCACCTCTGTATGTTGTTTGAGACTGGGTCTCATAGTGGAACCTAGGTTGGCCTCCTGAGTGCTGGGATTACAAGTGTGAATTCCCATGTCTGGCAACTAGAAAACTATATAAAACTTTGTGGTTCAACAGAAATACAGTTAACTATTTAACATGGTAGCGTCCAATATTGTTAAGCCATGGTAGAGAAAACAGTATAAAAACTGTTGATTTTTACCTTTTCCCCCCAAAGCTTGACTGGGTCATGGTTTCACTTTAAACACCTTATCCACCAAATTTGTTGAAAATGACATTTGTTATACTTAATAGTTTAAGAGGATTTTTTTTTTTGAGGCGTCATTTCTATGGAAAGCCCAGCCAGCCTTGAACTCAAGAACCCAAGCCATTTGCACAGTGCACCCAGCTCGAAATAATGTTAGTTGGCCATTGAGCCTGATGGAGTGGTAGATAGAAGAAAAGAAATTAAGGAAGAAAATGTAGCTTTTAGGTTTCCGAGACCCATGGGTTCATACTTATATCCCCTTCAGCTCACAGGCACGCTCTTGGAAGAGTCTTTTCTGTGAGTTGTATGCTTAGAGACAGGTTTCGCTTTTTAGTAGCTATACAGATAAATGTGAGCTATTTTGTTTTGTTTCATCTAGCAGATTTTAAGTTTAGCCATATTGTCGGGTGGGCTGTACTTCATTAATTTTTATCATTAAATGGTATTCTGTTATGGATGCCACTTCTCTGTCAGACTCATTTAAAATTACCTAACTAGATATCCTGGTTTGGGTGGGTAAAGCTATTAAGTCAGGAATTTGCACAATGACAAAATTTTCTTTAGGTTAGTGAAACTTAGTACATTACATAAACTCACTGTTAAGTACTGAAAGGTATATTTTTTGTTTTGTTTTGTTTTTCTTTCAAAATTTCATTTCTAGGTAAGACCATTGCAATTGGAAAAGTCCTGAAACTGGTTCCAGAGAAAGACTAAGCATTGTCCTGATGACCCTGCACAATACTGTGAGGAATATTGACTGCAAAAGCCTATTCACACCGCCTTCTCTTATTTTCTGCCCATTGACAAACCTCTCCCCATATTTTGCAAAGAAAATTCACAGCAAAAGTCCACATTATGTCAGCTTTCTCATATTGAGAGCTCTGCTATGCCACTGTTGAATTTTCCCCAAGATTTTACCCCCATTTCAAACTTTGCTTCCTTGGACAGATTTGGCAATAGCTTTGTAAGTGATGTGGACATAATTGCCTACAATAATGAAAACCTACAGGAATTTTTATTTTTCATTTTCCCCTTAGGCATAGTTAGTTCTTTTTTTTTCCCCAGGCAGATCATTCTGAGTGTGCGAGTGTGTGTGCACATGTTAAAAAGACAACTACCATGTTAATAAAATATTCAATTTGAAACCCTTTTCGGTATTTGAATTGCTTTGGAATACTGTTTTTTATCTCAATGTAACATTGTTGCATTAGCTTTTTAACTGCCAAGTAATTGAATACATTTTATTACTTGGATTTTTCTAAACTCTCCCTACCCACTCACTTTAAATGGGGCATTTACAAACACTGTTCGAGTTTGTATTAAAGGAAAGAATTTGTTGTTTGATCCCTTATTTTGATGGTTAATGCATACATAAACACCTTTATGCAGCTGCAGCACTAACTAAGTCTATTCTTTTCTGCCAATTTATATTTTAGTATGATTTCTTAAACACAGTAAGTTGTTTGGAAGCAAATAGCATTACTGTCATCTTTAAGAGTACAAGCTTAATGAAACTATACCCTAGAGACAATTCCATTAGCTTGTTACATTAATGGAATTCATAGTAAAGAAAGCATGTTGAAACTGGCGAACGCCCTTTAGTTTTTCTACGAGCTGCATGCATCTAGTATAAAATCCTATCAGTTCACGTGCCAGTCCCACAAGTTACTTTGCAGTAACTAAAGGGTCGAAGAGCCTTGCTTCTTCATGCCAATTCTCAATCCATTGATGAATGTAGTCATCACTCACTTCCCACACTAAAATGAACAGTAACAAATAGAATCAAGCACAGGATAGGTTTTAGCTCAATTATTTTGAGTTTTCTTAAATATAAGCTGTAATTTACTAACCTTGACATGGATGAACCACAATGCAGCATGCTGTGGTGGTTTTAGTTCAGAGGGTGACTTTCTACACCAGCTGTCATGTCTGAAGGTTTTCATGAGAATAAGTGGGACGTAGGAGAGACAGTTTCTGGGTTTGCCAGGGTCTCCATGTTGAATGTTTGCTTCCATTTATGAGATTTGGCCTCTTTTACATTGTGATTCCTAAGAGACTTTTTAACTGTATGTTTTTTGGTATGGCCTATTCCTGTAATCTTGCTCCCCAGAAAAGAAAAGCCTAGCCAACTGTATTTCCAGTTAGAAAACAAAAAACAAAAGTGTTTTTTTAACAATGAAATGCCAACTGCAGAGATAAATGAGTTGCTGTCTCATGGACAGGGCTAAAGTAGAGCCCTCCAGCTTTGAACTACACATATGCTATTAAATTGCATAAAATTAAATTTTATAATGTTTGCAAATATCTGGGCTTTTATTTTTCTGTGACATTTGGGAGCTCTAATGAAAACAAAATGATTCTTTTTATATTTCCATGCTAATAAAAATTAGCAAATGCTTGAGTCTTAATGAGTCTTTAGAAACTTTGAGTTACTAAAATTATTTCCAAAGACTTCCCTTTTGAAATTAAACATTTTTAAAAACAAGTTATGTCTGCTATTAAAACACAGTTAAGAATGTTATATGCATGTTGCCAAGATTCTTAAGAGAAATGACTTGGACAGCACTTATGAAAGCCCTACCTCTACAAGATAGCATAAGTACAAAGGTACAATAAAAAGTACAATAAAAATTTATTGGAATTATATCACATCAACAGAATTAACACTACATATTAGGGAATTTGAAATTTGAGAGAAGTATCTCTATTTAGACTTGAGGGATTTGAAAATAGTGGTTATATCAGATTGTCATTTGAATAAGGAGATTAATGTCTGAAGTACTCTTGGAATGTGTGCAGATATTGGATTTCTAAAGAGCAATACAGTTGTGTGCTATCATTCTGTCTTTGGCAAATGTAATAAGCTTTTTATGTGTTGACAATGCAAAATAGGATAACTATATAACACATTCTGGGTATTAAAAACTTTACTTTTTTCAGCTATATTTAACATAGGCATGTAGCATCATATAGTTTGCCCCATTTTACATTAATGATCATCACATAACTTTTATGCTAGGTTATTTAAGTGAATACACAGAATTTTAAGTAATGGCATTTAAGATAATCTTAACTGTCATCTTTTTCTATGGAAGAGGAAATACAATATTTTTTGTTTATATATAATTTGCTATCCAACAGGGGGAAAAAATCTCTATTAGATCCAAATGACAAGAATTTTGGCTAAGTGTATACTGTCTGAAAATCAATGACAAAGTAACTGTAAATGATTAAACACATTTTCCTCGTTTTTTAATGAAAAGTCTTGAAGTACATAATTACATGTAAAAACTTTGTAACTGAAGTACAAGCTATTCACTGTAATAAGGTAATTAATTCATCATGTCTGCTGTTTATGAAAACCACTTAGATCTACTATACAGTGTGGGACTTCAAAAATTACTTGGTTAACAGTTCCTGTCACCAGTTGAAGTGCTCCAAATATTTTGGCTTATTCTTGGAACCAGATGCAGTTTTATAACTTAAGAATCCAGGATGAACATGGGGGAGGGTCAGCTATCCTCCCTCAGCTGTCTTCATGATCTTGGATGGCTGTTACACATGACAGCACTCTAGCACCTTTACTCACTGGCTGCTGCTCCATGAATGATGACTTCATTGCTTTGGGTAGAGATTTAAGCAATCAGGGACAAAGTGTAGCTTTCTGTGTTAGAAACTTCCAACCTTTAAACCATTTGTGAAAATTCCAGTTACAGTACTATATCTCTGACTGTAGAATGAGTAGGTGTTATATTCATTGTTGGCCTACCTTATTAGAATAAGCTGCAATTAATCCTCTCACAGATCTATATGTAAAGTAGATAGATAGCGGTTAATTGGGCTTGGGAGATTAACTCCAAATACTGTATTTTATTTCTTAAACTAATTTTTCGGTGATTCTAACAGATGCCATCTAACTATTCATGATCTTGTTTCTTTAGAAATCTTGCCACAGCAGTAACTTGGTAAATACATACAATTATATATGCACAATTCATGACTTTATAGGTTTAAATTTAACAATTGATTAAATTAGATTTCATAGTATGTGGATAGAAAGTGTTATTTTCCGGTAGTAATTCAGTCTATTGCATTTGTACCAATTTATTGCTAGAATTCAGATAGGGTAGATCTGATACTTGATGGTTTTGGTTCTGGGATATTCTTAATTTTTAGAATCCTAGAACTTAATGAGTCTTCCCTTCAATAAATATACTTCTCACATACCTCTAATCCAATGCTTCCTTGAAACAGTAATATGCTAATCACGTTGTTTACTAAGGATTATTATGAAGGCATGGAGGTAATGAGATAGAGATTTCAAACTTGTTTTCCGGTGCAAGGGAAAGTAAATAGGCACTAAGCCTGATTAGGCAGAAAACATGGATTTCCACAGCAGTCCCAGAACAGTATTGCTTTTTTCTGCCTTGTCATACATGCCACTGTGCCCTTTAAATCTTGACCTGGAAACCTCAGGTTTGTGGACTGCACAGGCAGATGGCATTTTGTGCTTCTGAGGCTCCCCTCTGCTAGGCACGTTAGCTTAGTGCTTCAGATGTCAGCCTGAGTCCTTGCTACCTCCTTTCCTGCTGCCCGGGGAAGAGTGTCTGTGCTGGAGCTGGGGCTCCGGCCCTGCTCAGGTGACGGTCTTCGCCTCCATCTCTTCCACATGCATTAGGTGAAACAGGTCTGAGCCTGCAAGTCTGCATTTAAAGGGACATGTTGGGCTCTCGGAAATGTATACACTTCTTACCTAGTTTCTTCAGCTTGTTTGAAAGGAAATGTGCATCTCTCAAGTCAGGATTTACTGACTAATTTTTGCTGAACTGGTTAATACCTAGAGCCCATTTTAAAAGAAAACAAGATTGAGAACTGGCTAGGTTTGATGGGTTTTTAGCCTAATTCCAAAGCATGAATGAGTGTTCTAGGTAGGAAAGAAACCCTTATCTTATGATTTGTAGCTACCTACTGTGCCTGACTTGGTGCCTGTGTGAGGATTACACCCTTAGTCTGCTCTTGCAATTATTCAAATGACTGAAGTTTAAAAATTTTGTTTTGTAACAATAAAAATTGTCATTTTCCCTTTTGATGTGCTTGTCTGTCTGTTTATAATCACCTGTGCTGTACTCTGTGCTCCTTTCTCTATAATATTTTTGTATCAAATATTAGGAATATCTAACAGACTTATTGGATGAACCTAATAGGCTGTTATTTCAGAATTTAAGAACATGTTTGTTTGGTGTGTGAGGCTTTTCTATGGTTAAATGACAACCTTACAGAACAAAAACAGCCCTCCAGGAAGGGTTATGATAAATAACATCACATTGTGTGGTTTCATGTGAACAATAGAATTGGAGAAACATCAATGATTATTCTGTCCAAGCTATGAACCTAAAAATTCAGGATTTTTAATAAAGATCAAGAGACCAAACGGCATGTGCACTTCTTTATTGTGCAAGGGTGAATAATTTAACAAAACTAGTATACACAGTAGTTAACTGAATGACAGTGACATATTTCTTTGTACACTCATCTTCGGTGAGGGAAGGCTCAGACAGGAACTCAAATGTTAGTATAAGCTAGCCTAAAACTATGGCGATCTCCCAGCTTCTGCTTCCTAATTGGTGAGATTACGGGTGTGTTCCAGCACACTCTAGTTCATATATATATATATGCATATATATATAATTTTCTTTCATGAGAGGCAGTGAGCCCCTGCTTCAGCGTCCTCGTGTGAAAGGTCAGAATTTTGATCTTGTGTTAAACTAGTCTTAGCTTAAATGAAATTTGCAAGCAGGAATGTGGTAGAACAGGTAGAGCACGGGCCAGAGAGACTGCTCACCAATTAGGAACACATGTTCATTTCCAAGTTCCAACTGCTCACAACTGCCTAAGGCCAGCTCCAGAGGGTCTGGCCTCCTCAAGCTGCAGCGCAAGCACACTGTTTGAAAGTCCTAAAGAGCTTGGGCGGTGGTGGTGCACAGAGGCAGGCAGATCTCTCTGAGTTAAAGGCCAGCCTAGTCTACAAGAGCTAGTTCCAGGACAGGCTCCAAAGCTACAGCAACCCTGTTTCAAAAAGCAAAAAGTTCTAAAGAAACTATATGACAATTACTACTTTTTTCTTTGTTTTCGTTTTGGGTCTCATGTATCCCTAGCTGGAATAAAACATGTTTTGGAGATTAGGCTGGCCTTGAACTCAGAGATTTGTGTAGCTCAGTCTTCCAAGTAATTGGATTTTTTGTTTTGTTTTGTTTTTCCGAGAGATGGTTTTTCTGTAGCTGTGGAGCCAGTCCTGGAACTAGCTCTTGTAGACCAGGCTGGCCATGAACTCACAGAGATCCACAAGTACTGGGATTCGTATTGTGTACTCTGGCCTGACCATGAACTTCAAATCTTGCCCCACTTCCTAAATGCTGAGGTTATAGACAAATACTACTGGTATTCAAGGGATCAAACTCAACAAAATAAACACTGTCAACTGAACAGTAGCTTTTTTTCGACCCTGTGGTTTTCTGGTAAATGACTAGAATTTCAACACTATCCATCAACACATAGAACTGATTCCTTGTTAACAAAAATTGTCTTGATTTCATTAATTTTGTCTTTAGGCACCACAGAGGTACTGTATGTCGTGGGTAAAAGATTCGCATTGAAGAGTTTTATAACGAGTGGCAAGCAGGAGCAGTATTGAAAGCTTAGGTCTTATTGTCAAGATGCAGGCAGAGAAAGTCTGGGCCTGGCAGTCTACCCCGGTACAAACTTCCTAATCCTTAACAGTACACCAACCTGGAATCAGACATCTGAGTACGAGCTGATGAGAGCCATTCTATTTCACACCATGGCACTTTTAACCACTGTTACCTCACTGGCCCCAAGAGTGCTTTCTGATAATTTGTGAAATTATCCTTCTGTTAAAAATTAGGTTTGGGACTAGAAAGATTGCTCAGTGCTTAAGAGAACCTAACTGTTCTTGCAGAGGGCTCAGGACCCACATCACACAATTACCTTCTGACCACCAAGGACGTGGGAACACATGTAGTGCCTATCCAGTGAGGCACACACACATTTTTGTAAAGTTAAGCTAAAATTTCTCCTCAATGTGTATTGAGTAAAATTCAGCAGCTGTACATTTTATTCTCTGTGTGCATGGGTGTTTTGGCTACATGTTTTTATGTGCACTGTGTGACTACAAAGGTCAAATAAGGGTATCTGATCCCCTGGAATGTGAGTTAATAGGTGGCTGTGAGCTGTCCTGTGGGTGCTGAGAGTCAAATCCAGCTAGCTGTATGCCACCATGAATCAAGATTACTTTATTCAAGCCAGTAGTCAAGAGCAGGCTCCTGTCACGAAGAACCAGGTGTGAACTGATAAGTTTTTGTTTTTAATGTGTGTATGGGAGTTTTGCCTGCATATGTATGTGTGTGCCTAGTATTCATTGAGAGAGCATTAAGTCTTCTGAAACTGGAGTTAAAATCGTGAACATATAGGTGCTGGAATTGAATCTGATTCCTCTGAAAGAGCGAGGAATGCTCTTAGCTGCTGAGCCATCTCTCCAGGCTTGTGGTTTGTTTTATTTTTAAACATCATTTCCAAGAATGGAAGGAAGAACCCTTTGGTCTGTTAACCATCTTACACCCGTCTGGTTCCCGTGAAAAGGTATGGGTTAGGATAACCTGACCTTTTCTGGACCACGCCATTCCCCATTTTTTAGTTATTTGAGAGTTTCAGATTTTTGTTAAGGGGTAATACTGGGCTCGTAGGATCATTAGCTTAAGTGAGGCATCCCCCCCTTTTTCTTTCACAACTTAAAAGGCAGTTGATTATTCAAGGTTCCACTGTGAGCCCTCTGAGGACAAGCAGCAGACTCCGCAAAGCCAGTGAGTAGGGATGTGAGCCAGGGGCAACGGTCAAATATTTTATGGCAACAGGAACCATTGGATTCACATTTTGTCTGTGGTCCAAGATTGTCTCTAACATTTTGTGGGGATTATTTTATAATAACTTTGTTGTTGTTGTTGTTTTCCCATAAAAACAGCAGAACTCTCTTAGGGCCACACATAGTCATTCTTGAGACATAGAGGCTGTGTCTAGACCTTGGTTTTGGTGACTCGCTTCTCCAGGGGGCTCCACCTGGTCATGTCTATGGAAAGCTGTAGATAAACATAACAGCAACTGCCGACTCATTTATAGCCTCTAACCCACAGAGATCCACCTGCCTCTGTGTCCCAAGTACTGGGATTAAGCTAAACATGTCACTCTATTTAACTCGGCAAGAAAACAAAGTTTTTTTTTTTCTTTAAACAAGGTTTATTGATTTATTATATATAGTGTTCTGCCTGCATGTGTGCCAAGAGGGCAGAAGAGGGCACCAGATCTCATTACATGGTGAGCCACCGTGTGGTTTATGGGAAATGAATTTAGGACCTATGGAAGAGCAGGCAGTGAGTGCTCTTAACCACTGAGTCATCTCTCCAGCCCCAACTTTTTTTTTTTTTAAAGATTTTTTTTTAAACCATGTATATGGAGAGAGTTAGATGTCCATGGAGGTCAGAAGAGGGCCAGAAGCTGGAGTTACAGGTGGTTGTGAGCTGCCAGATGTGGGATCTGAACTTCAGACCCTCTGAAAGAATAGAAAGTGCTTTTAACTGCTGAGCAATCTCTCCAGCCCCTTTTCTTTTCTTTTCTTTTCTTTGTATGTACAAATCTAATATTCAAGTAGTATCCACCTGATGTGTGATGAGAGCTGCATCAATGAGAAAGGTTGGAAGAATGATCAAGAATGAGTTCAGACATCTTTGACCTCCACATGCACATCCCTCACATACATGCCCATACATATGCAAACATATAAACAATCAGACCCCAAAATGGGATGCAGGTAAGCAACAGAACTATGGATAAAGGAGAGGATTTTAAAAAATGATTTATTATTATTTACACACGACTGTTTCCCCTCCTCTCCTCCTAGTTTCTCCCCCCACCTTTGCTCTGCCCTGCCATCCACTCCTCCTCCATATTTAGAAAGGGTAGGTGTCCCACGAGTATCAACCAAACATGGCATATCATACTAAGGCTGGACAAGGCAACGCCATAGGAGGAAAAAGAGTCCCAAAAGCTGGCAAGAGTCTGAGACAGCCCCTTCTCCCAAATTAGGAGGCCCAGAAGAACACCCAGCTACACAACTGTAACATGTGCAGAGGGCCTAGGTCAGACTCATGTAGGCTCCCTAGTTGGTTCAGGCTCTGTAGCTATGAGCCCAGGTTAGTTGAGTCTGTGGGTTCTCTTGTGATGTCCTTGACCCTTTGGCTCCTACAACCTTCCTCCCCATCTTCAACAGGATTCCCCAAACTGACTAATGTTCAGCTATGGGTCTCTACATCTGTTTCCATCAGTTGCTAGACAAAGTCTCTCTGATGTCTATTGGGCTAAGCACCAATCTAAGAGTATAGTAAAATATCATTAGGTATCATTACAGTGACATTTCTCTTTACAGTCATGTTTGGTTCCATCCTAGGTTTCTGGGCTATCCATCCTCTGAGTCCTAATGTTCCAGGTAGTGTCAGGGGTGAGCTCCCGTTCAGGGCAGGGGTCTCTGGCTGGACCACTCATAGGTTTTCCACTCCCACAATTTTTGTGCCACTTTACTCCAGCACATCTTGTAGGCAGAAATGAAGGAGAGGATTTTTTTGTTTTGTTTTGTTTTTCGAGACAGGGTTTCTCTGTAGCTTTGGAGCCTGTCCTGTAACTAGCTCTTGTAGACCAGGCTGGCCTCGAACTCCCAGAGATCCGCCTGCCTCTGCCTCCCGAGTGCAGGGATTAAAGGTGTGTGCCACCACCACCAGGTGAAGGAGAGGATTTTTAAAGCTAAAATTTATATACAGTAAAAATGTACAAATTGGGCTTACATCAATAGTGGCGAATACATCATCACAGAGACACAAAACATTTCCACCATCCCTAGGAAGTTCCCTCTCTCCCTTTCTAAATTGTCTCCTGCCAAAGTAATCACTGTTGAATGCCAGACAGATGGAACCATGGAACATGAACTCAAAAATCTGCCTTTTGTCCATCATCTTTTAGAAGGCTGAT